TAACAGAGTCTGGTTTATTTGCCAGGCTATATATGATATTTTCTCAATGTTTTAAAATGTATTACCCTTTGCGATAAACATTGCACCCACCCCCTCCCCCAGCCTGTTCTTCTCTATGGAGAATCACTAGTTTATATTGATTTATTAAGCATTCATAAGACCAAAAGAGTTGCAACACTCTCTTCTTAAATGGCATCTTTCTAATTAAAAACAAACACACCATGACCAAGGCTACCGATCAGTTTTATTAGGAAAAAAAATTAAAATGCCTTGACCACTTTTTAAAAAATAGACCATTTTCTAAGAAATTCTATTGGAAAAACCACAAACAATGAATTTTCCTGAAGAATATAATTTACAATAAAATGTAAACTGTAGTCAGCTATGGCTATACAGAGGCGAGGTTATTTATTCTAAACAATACCTGCTTTTGTACTTTACAACAAACTGCGCAACCCTAACATACTAATCACAGCAGAATAAATTGAGAGCACCAAGCTTTTCCGTATTCTGTACTCACCGCCCTTTTGTCCATCAAGATTATCTTCTCTCAAAGGACTCTCAGTAGCTGGCTTCAATAAGGTGCAGGCACACAACAAATTTAAAAAAAAACAGAAGCAAAACAAAAACAAAAACAAAAACATCTGGGGCAGCTAACATTTCCATTTACTTTAGTCTGAGACACCTCAAAGTGCTTTATTTAAAATAAACTAAGTTTTTGAATGCCTTGAGAATATATTTAAACAGATCAGATTTGTAGATAACTATTTTTTTTAAAAAACTGGTATATAAGTAATCAAAGTCCAACCCGTTAGGAGACCTCAGATATATTTTCCTGTTCTACAAAGCACAGCTTCACACCCCTACGTATTAGATTGGAAATTTGGCAGACAGCTCTACACCACCACCTGTATCGTTCGGCACCATGCCCTACTCCCTACGCCCCCATCCAAAGAAAAAGTTTGGGGAACGGCTGGGCCCCAGAGTTGGAGAAGTCACCACGACAGCAAAGGGTAGTAGCGACCCTCTTGCACCGCCGACCCCTCAGGGGCCGACCTCCCTACATGCGATCTCACACGTACGCGCGAGTACGTGGGAGCCCGGAGCAGACGGGGCGGACTCACGCCAGCCCCTAAGGGTTGAGGGCGGGGCCCGGCTGCGGCGCTGCGACCCCGCACGTATCAGGGCGTGGCCTGCAGCGCCGTGGGCGGGACTCGGGGAAGAGTCTCCCAGCGGCTTAAATTCCGTATCCTGTAGTAGTACCAGCGGCACCGGAGACAAAAGGGGTGCCAGGTCCCTTCCGCATCCGTGGTATTTTCCCTGATGAGGGTCTGGTCGCTACCGCTCTCAGGCACCTGCCTTTCTTCTCCTTCGCGAAATGGAGCCAAGACAAGGGAATAAAGGACATAAAATAATGCAAGGAGATCGGGTGTCTGAGCAGCGTCTTGGGTAAAACCGTCCACTACAGGTAAGAATAAAAGTTATGTCCAAACCTCTGAAGGGTGTGAACACAACAAAGCTCCAGAAGGCATTCAATTTTGTGGTAAGGTGTAGCTTTTATCTTACAGGTAGACTATTTCGTTTCATGAAACGACTATTCTGTAAAATGACCTGAGAGAACAGGTTCAGCGCTATTTAAAGGGATTTAATATGAGCAAAATGGTAAGTGTCAGACTTAAAAAACAACACCTGAGTAAAAAATTTTCTTTACATTTTTGTTGGTTCCAGCTAGCAATGTTTGCAAAGGTCTTATTTAACCAAACCCAATTGTTTAAAAAAAGAAACCCATATTCTTTGCAATGTTTTTGATATTGCTGTAATAGAAACTTGAATTTTAGAATTTTGTTAGATTCTGCAAAGCCAGTAACTTTAAGTTCATCCTTTGTGTTTTAAAGGTTATAGGGGGAAATCAAGATATGCAATGAAACAAATAAAAAAGTGGAAAAAATGCGATAGTTGAGGTTAAACAAACTTAATAGAAAATAAACATGTCTATTGTGCCATAAAGTCAAACAGCTCTGGGAGAACCATACCATATTCAAACAGCATTTTAATTTATCTTCTGTTCATACATCACCTCATTTACCTGATGTCGTCTCCATACCAGACACCCAAATCTGCAGTTAATACTAAAACCCAGCTAAATAGCACTTCAAAACACCACTTTCATTAATTTCCATTTATGTCTTGCCATTCCTCTTAGGACATCTCCTCAATGTTCTGTATGGTTTATCTTCAAAACACCCACCCTCGGTTCCCTACACCTCGACTGTTTTCTCCTGTCTGCTATTTCAATAGTTAATGGGGGGGAAAATGTTCTACTGGACTGGCTAGCACTGCAAGGTGGTTAGCACCACTGGCTACGGTGTTACTGATGACCTGCTGAAAAACTGCCTTAGGTTACCTCTCCAAGCTATTTTCTCATCTACAGGAGGAGATACAAGAAGTACTAATCCATAGGTGTGGTTTGTTGTTTTAAGATTGTGTGGTAACATGCAAAATGCTTAGTCGAAGTCTACCACATAGTACGTTAAGAGGTGTTAGAGTCATTTTAATCCCTAATCTTTGTGCCACTTCACCCGTCAGTGGAAGACTACCTGGGAAACTATTTCCAGTTCCAAGGTTAATAGTGAGGCTTAGAACAAATGAACAAGGTACACCAAACTCCTTTGGTGTACCTTCCTCAAGTGCGAAGATAATAAAATGGCCATTCATTCACTGCAGCACCAGAGAAGGGAGGGACAAGAATATTGAGGGGAGAAGAGCTATTATAAAATTATAATTGTTAGGGTAGGATTATACTTCTTGGATAAAGGTATTATTACAAAAGTTTGTGATAGTGTCAGAGACCACACTGCTGGGAAGGAAAGGTAGGTTCTGCTATTTCAGTTTCAAGCACTCCAGGGAGTTTGTTTTTTAATGACCCAGAGGTGGATACTTGGTTTCTTCCAGCTCTCCTTTAAAGTGGCTTTCTCTTCTAAACCACTGCTTTAACAAGTCACTTTCCCAGACTCCCAGACATTACATAATCTGACCATTTACTAATATTTGAAAACTGTAAACGTCTCGTTTTCAATTCAAGGTAATTTGCTATCAGGATTTTTGATATTTTAACCTGAGAATATTAAGCAATGACGTTATTCTAAAATACCACCTCCAGTACTATCTGTAATTAAATACACATGCAATTTGGATCATAGTTTTTATAGTGAAATATAACATGCCCCCCAAAATCTTGCATCAAGTTTTAGTACTGTAAACTTTGTTCCCAAATTTTCATGTAACTGTAATCACATTTTCTTCATTCTAAGGTAAAAACAGCCCCTCAAGATCCATGGCTTACTTTGTTCGGGATATTTTGTTCCTGCAGTATCAGGCTATATAGTACCTAAGATTCTGGCACTATCTATATACTTTGTCCATAAAAATAATCTGCAGTTACCTCTAGGTATAGGGATTCACAGTGACTTCTCTGTTTTTTTATATCTTTTGGTGCTGTTTTTGTTTTAAAAATGAGAATGTTTTGCTTTTATAATTGGCAAAGAAATATAGCAATTTCATAAAAATATAAGATAAAGCTATTTTTAAAAACTTAAATATGCAGTATCATTAAAACAAAACGTTAGTTCTGGTTCATATTAAAGCCAGAACACCTAAGTTCCCATCTCTGGCCTGGCAGTACTTTATGGCTTAGACAAATCATATAATCGTGTATCATTTGAGGTCTAAATTTCTTCATCTGTGAATAGAAATAGATTAGAAATCTTTATTATTTTTTAAATTTTTAAAAAAATTTATTGATTTGAGAGAGAGAAAGACATTAATTTGTTGTTCCACTTATTTATGCATCGAACCCACAACCTTGGCATGTTGGGACAATGCTCTAATCAACTGAGCAACCCGACGAGGGGCAGAAATCTTTGGAGGACCTTCTAGCCCTTACAACATTATGTGACTATAATGTTCATGACCTGTTTCACTCACCTCATTCATATTAAAACATTAAAATTACTTTAATAGGTTTACAGGCTTATTAACAGATTTCTAAAAGCATACTCTTTACAGTGGAACATTATGGTTTGTTATTTAACATAACATTTAGGGACACAATATACATTACGGTGATAGCAAAAGAGAAATGGAGAAATAATCAATGCCATGGCAATGTAACTTTCATAAAATAATTAAATTGTTGGAAAACAATTTTAGGAGTTGGAGGATATTGAAATAAACATTAACAGAAAAGCTGATCAAGGTGGGGGGCCTGGTCCACAAAAGATGTTTATTTGAAGTAACAAAACAATACAGTTAGTGTTAGATCCAACCACAAAGAGCAAAAGGAATGAAAAATTTGTACAATGCACATAGAAAAAACAAGATGTTTACTGTGACAACTATATATTTCTAAAATAATACTTCTAAAATCACTCAATTATTGAAATCTATATGAAAACAAAAGGATGTTAATGGCGACAAAGTGCATAAAAACCAAACATCAAATTTTGAGCAAATTAACATACTAGGCATTTCTGCTAACAAAGCATGATTTTTGTTTGTTCACTATCTGCTCAAAACATCTTTATACCAACAGGGTGGGCAGAACATTTAGGTTTAATATCAATTACACATTATTAGCATAAACTTCCACAACTACATATAAGGTATTGTTTTCTTTTGAGCTGGCAAAGTGACTATAGAAACATCAAGTTCATTTCTCTGAATTGAGAATTTTATCGAAATAAATGCCACATACCTTCCAGATATATGCATATCTTTCTATATCGTGTAAATGGCTTTACCCATTTAATAAAACCACACAAGCATTTAAGAATCATTACATGATTAACAATGTCATGTTCCAGGTTTAACAATTTCATAAGCCAAAAAAAAAAGTTCTTCTTAAAAACTAGTTTTATAAATGCAGAATATATTGCATGAGTAACTGCTGGTATTTTTTTAAGAAAATATATTGTGCAATTGTGGCTACCATGTACTGCTGGCAAATTATTATTGTTTACATAAAATGTGAAAAAACTGAGTAAAAAATTTTCAGACTGATCATGATGAAAGGTTACTGCCTTCTTAAAAGGATTATATTGGCATCTTATTAAAAATAATTCGACAGGGGACAAACTCCCTAGCCCAAAATAAATAAATAAAAAGGTGCATTTTAAAAATGATGCTACTGTAATGCAATGGTTTAAATAACAAAGAACTGTGAGAATGTGCTGCCTGTGATCTGGCATTAATGTAAATTAAGTAAAAGGGGATCAAAACTGAACTAGCAGTTTGTGCAGTATTGTAGCCAGACTTCTAAAATTAGATAGATATAGAAAATATAAATAGACTGCTTTAGGTAATGAGCCACCAGTGTCCAAAAAAAGGAATGAAATTACGAAAAAGCTCAGTTAACTTGATCCAGCGCTCTGAGTAATTCTTCACCCTGCAGTAGGTTTCTGCTGCCTTGTATAGGAGCATTAACTTCACAATCATAACTGGTCAGCTGTGGTAATCCACTTTCATCCATTGACTGCCCCAGCAGTCTACATGCTAAATCTGAAAAACAAGGAGATATCTAAGTATTCATTCATGTAGTCAGTGATCATTATTAAACACTCACTCTGCACTAGGTATTGGAAAAACAAGGCCAATAAGCTCTTTCTGGAAGGGTTTTTTAGTCTATGGTGCAAAACCACAGCTATGGAAACAAGTAAGTGATATCACACGTTACTAGTGCTATGTTAGAAATGTTTACAGGATACGATGAAGGCACAAAGGAGTGATAAATCAATTTAGAGAAAGGCATAAAAACTCACAAGGTTCAGTTTCTATCCAATATTAATAGTACACAGACATATCAAAGACAATTCTAAGAACAATTCACATTCCATCTTGAAATAGTTATTTCTGTGTTACAGCCATTAGAGAAAATGCTATCTTCCGTTTTAATCTTGCGAAGGAAGGAAAATCATTTCACTTGGGGCAAAGCTCCTAAATAAAAAGTCATATAATTCTCTTTGTGATATTCAGGGCAAAAAGAATAAACTAACCTGAGGGTATTACAATAATAGTTTTTTGCTCCATTCCATTCTGTTCACTAGATCTGCATCCTTTCACACGTTTCCAAGAAAGTGATGTAGTAGTTGCACGATCATCTGGCTGCTGTAATAATGTTCCCTAAAAGCGGTGAAGTTATTTTAATTTTACTATGTTTTTTTAAAAATAAAAAACTCTGATATTAATATAAGTTTAATAACATAGAGTAGGCAGGTTTCTTAAATCAAATACTGTCCCAAATTGTTTTAATTCTTTCTCTTACAACTTCTATGATAAAGACGTTTATTTGCCACATACTACGGCTATCTCTGTAAATTCTTTCCAGTTAACCTGGTTAAACTGAAAATATCTCTATGGATTACACAAACACTGACTTGACATAACTACTGTGTTTTGAGCGTAAGAAGGAGAAAGTTACTTTCTTACACTCAAAGTGTAAATAAGGGAAGGTAAGAAAGTGAAGAGAACAAGACTGGTGGTGATATTGGGTGGAATAGAGGGAGAACATCACTTTTTACTCAAAATATAGCTGTATTATCTGAAAGTTTTACACTGAGAATGTATTCATTGTTTTTAAGAAATGGTGTATACAAAATGAAAAATCATGTATAAATTCTAAAAGACACAACTGTAGTATTTAGAAGAAACAAGAATTACCCTTAAGTATAACTTGTAAATAAAGATTACCTAGAAAAGCAAACACATAACTCTCACACTTACAATTCCTACTGCTTGAAAAAGTGAACCATCATGTTCTATTTTTCGTTTTCTTTGAGCATTCTGCAAAGCTAGTATCTTTGGATTTAGTTCTTCCTCAGGAACAGTAGTTCTGAAAAAAAAATTTAAATAAAAATGTGGTTTTCTTATTATCAAAAAGAAATCAAACTAGCTTTTTCCCAGAAAATACATAATGCCTGTTTTCTAATTAAGGAACATAATGTTATATATGAGAACTTTTCCTGATTACTAAAGTTTATCACTTTAAAAGCCAAAGTTCAATTTTTAAAGCAAAATAACCTAAAATTTGCATTTTCTTATTACTAAAAGTAAACAGAACTAGGCTGACATTGTTGTAATATTGGCCTTTCATTCCACCTAAAACAGATATTCTCGGCACTACTGTAATACATTTTCACATTTCTATAGCATTTTCAGTTCATAAAACATTTCGTGTTTATTAGCTCATTTTAGTCTCACTCCAATCCCAAAGACAGGTAGATATAATGCCCACATTATAAATGAGAAACCTGAGGCCTGTTAATTAACTATCTCAAAGTGCTATTGTTAATTAGTTGGAGACACAGAAGTACATTCTAGATCTCTTTATACCCATGCTCTCCCCAGTGATCTTCCTAAGCCATTTTGCCTCTAGCATTGATATTATCAAACAAGCATGTATCTAAAATTAATATTAAATAGTGAAGAACTGCTTTATAGCTCAAATACATCAATTTTGTCATAGCTGTTTTGTTTTTTTCCTAAGAACTTCCCCATCCATACATAATCATAAATGGCTCCTTGCTCTGTTCCATATAGTTGAGAATACATATGGGTAGGTGATCTATTTTTCTGCCTTCCTACCTGCAGTTTTGTAAAACCTCCAGTATATAGACACACAGGTTTTTTAAATCCTTATATAACTACATTATCTTTATGAAGTATAAGTCAGTGTATCAAGTAAATACATTCAGTAGTACTTTTAATGGTTATCTTTAATCTTTGCTATAAAGCTGTAAGTTGTCTGGTTTAGTATAGCACTTTGATTTTGCAAATAATTACCTAGAGAAACAGTAATGAAAAAGCTTACATATAATTAATAAAATCCCTCTCTTAAAATGTTTAGTGCATACTGTAGTGGAATTGATATAACAAAATTGCTAATGTGACTAGATAGTAAGACTTTGGTTTTGACAAGCACGGTTGTCAAAACAATATTCCATAGTCTCTTGTAGTGAACAGTAAACTGTAAATTACAGGTCATCATCATCACTACTACTTTCATTCATCTGTCCATCCAACAACCTTTATTGAGCAACTACTACATGTTAGATACTGAGTTAAGCATCAATACCACTAATACATCCAAGGCACTGTCACTGCCCTAGAGGAACTCAGAGTCTAAAGTCAGTTGGTGACATAGTAATTTATAAAGTAATGGAGATTGCTTCTTTGTTAATCTAAAACCCCAAGATCTTTTCTCAGCACTAGGGAAAGGCCTCTCCCAGTACTCTAAGTCAAAGCAGTGATGCAAGGCAGGAGAAAAAAAGCCATAAGCTCTGACTATGGCGGTGCTTTTTCCTATTGCTACTGCTCTCTGAAATCAGTCTAGGCACAACAGAAAAGGAATCCGTTCTCTCTTCAACACTGCCCCCCAGTGACCAGCTAAAATTACTTCCTCTGACAGTAGCCACAAATTTAAAATGTTAAATCCCAGTATAAATTATATACAGAAATTATGATTTAAAATTTGGTTGATGTCTAGATATTTGCTCAAATTTGCTCCATAGAAGCAATGTCATAAAATCAGGCTTAGACTCCTGTTGTAACTCTTAAAAACCTATTTAACCTATAATAATGAATGTTCTATAAACATGCAATGAACAATAAAAGCAACTGTAAAATAACTATACACAAACCTTAAAAAGAAGTCTTGTAAATATCTACATTGAATATTGAGGACTTGAAGGCTCAACATGGAATGGGGAATTGCAAATACCCGTAAGTCAGAAGAGCTTTTTTTCAGGTAAGCTTAAAAAGAGCCCCACGAAATGGAAGCAGTGAGGATATGTTAACTAGTCTGATTTAACAACTGTAAGAAACTGGGTCAATTTTGTACCTTCATAGAACTTACTGGCTAGATTTTATTTTTAGAGGTATTAGAAGACCCTCCTACATTCAGATAGTTGATATGATTATTTTAGGGAAAATAAATACACAAGCTAATTTAGAAACAGTTTTTGGACTTATTGTTTTAAGTTCAGAATTTGTGTATCAATTTTATGCTCCTTAAACATATATATCAGAAAGTTTGCTACATTTAGAAATAATTTATCACACACATTTTCTAAAAAACAGATAAAAGAAGTATAACTTTAACGTTACATAAAAATAAATACCTTTGACTCAAAGTGATAGATAACACGTTAGGGCTTCTTGGATGAGATTTTTCTGTCTGTTCTATAACTCCTTTTCCTGCTCTGTTTGGTGAGGCTGTCCGACTTCGAGTATCACTATATGGTGATGTTGTGGTACTAGTAGTTTCTTTAGGTATGTGGGTAGGAGATGAAGATGCAATCAGTATTTTAATGTCTTCCATTCCATCTTTTGTCAGTGCTTTTAATTCATCAGTGGTGGCAGTGGTAGTGGCAGTGGCAAGAGTTGGTTCTTGCATTTGAGTTGGCTGGAATACTGTGATTGTGCTTGTACTTTGGGGGCTTGTAGAACTGCTTTCCAATGGTGACAACTGATCAAAGGAACGTAACTGGAAGTCATCATCCATTGGGATATAAGGAGCCAACATCTCCAAGTCTAAATCAGTGTCCTATAAAACAACAAATGCATGAGTTTCTACAATGGCTACATCTTATACCCAAAGTCACTTCAAGTTAAAAATAAAAAAAGTTTAATATAAAATGTAATAAACAAATTCATATACCTGAGTGGAAAATGGATTCTTCGCTTCTGTGTCTTCGGCAAAAAGTTTCTCTACCAATTCCAACTTGAATTCATTGACCATATCACTATCCACATCAAAACAATATTCACTGGGACTGGTAGGCTATAAAAGGAATTAAGTGTGTTTACTTTCCCAGATAATGCCTGTGTGTTTTGCTAACTCTCAAACCAGATTTCAGAGAATACACAATAAAATTCATCTGTTCTGAATTTTACTGAACTAGTGAGAAGTCAAATTTTTGAACTTAGACTTTTATCTAATTTTGCTAGTCTAGTAGTAGTTCCCCCCTTATTTGGAGTTTCGCTTTCTGCAGTTTCAATTACCCGTGATCAGCTGAGTTTTGAAAACATTAAATAGGAAATTCCAGAAGTAAGCAATTCGTAAGTTTTAAAATTTGCATTGTTTTGAGTAGTGTGATGAAATGTCGTACTGCCCCACTGCATCCTGCCACAGACATGAATCACACCTTTGTCCAGAGTACCCACTCTGTACATACCACCACCCATTAGTCACTCAGTAGCTATCCTGGTTATCAGATCAATTGTCACAGTATCGCAGTGCTTATGTTCAAAGTAACTCTTATTTTACTTATTAATGGTCTAAACTGTAAGAGTAGTGATGCTGGCAGTTTGGATATGCCAAAGAGAAGCTGTACAGTGCTTCCTTTAAGTTAAACTGTGAAAGTTCTTGACTTCATAAGGAAAGAAAAAAGAACAAAACAAAATCTGTATGTTGAGGTTGTTAAGAAGGAAAAAGAAATTTGTGCTAGTTTTGCTGTCACATCTTAAACTACAAAAGTTATAGGCACAGTACATGACAGTGCTTAGTTAAGATGGAAAAGGCATTACATGTGTGGGTGCAAGATGTGAACAGAAAACGTGTTCCAACTGATTGGCAATGTGTTGTGCCAGGAATCACTGGGCCGATATAAAGATTTAAACAAGGGATCCCCAGAAGCAAGTGACACCAAGCCATTTACTACAAGCAAGTAAGGGATGAAAAATGTAACAATTACTTGCCAATACTTGCCCCTTATTGGCAAGTAGCCTGTACTTGCCAATGAAGAAGCTGCCGCCACATTTACGGCAAAGCTAACAAAGCTGATTAGGGATCGGTACTATCCTCAGTTTCAGGCATCAGCTGGGGGTCTTGGAATGTGTCCACCACAGAAAAAGGGGACCTGCCATATATAGATTTCTGACTATATGCAATATGACATCATTTATAAAATTAAAAATTGCCGTTATCTGTTTATTCTAAAGAATAAAACTCATCTGGGCGGGTATAAGGGGACTAAATGGTAATGGAAAAAAATACAAGAAAGACTAAATTAAAAATAACTCATTGAATAATTCAACTACCGCATGGTACCCAACTGGCCAACAACTAGATGATATACACTCACTGGAATCCCCTGTTGTACTGAGAGGGCATGTGCTTGTGGTGATCTACCTGAAAATCTTACAGTTACTCTAGGGCAGATGTGGAGACTTAAGTTCCATTACCTGAATTCACCTTCATGAATGTACTATTCCTTTTTATTCTTTCAATTTTTTAAAATTGATTTTAAAGAGAGGGGAAGGGAGGAAGAGAAAGAGGGTACAATCAACGTGCGAGAGAAACATCTACTGGTTGCCTCTCTTATGCACCCTGTCCTGGGACCAACCCCACAACCTAGGCATGTGCCTTCGCAGGGAATTGAACCTGCAACCTTCAATTTACGGGACAACGCTCCAGGCCAAGCCACACTGGCCAAGGCTGGATGTACTATTCTTTTAGACATTCTGAGCAAGAATTCTAACCAAAAAATTATAGTTATGTATTCTGAACATAAACTTTTTCTTTCCTCATTATAACATTTTTGTTAGATTAAAAACAAAATGAATCAAAAACATTTTGTGCCAGGCAAACTGAGCAACCAGAGTATAGGATGTATTCTCTAAAAGACTATGAGATTTCAAATCTCCTCTTCTTAGCTTGCCAGTCTGGATCCATAAATATTTAATATAAAATTAGTTTACCACATATTAAGTCTTATTTGTGCTTCATTTATCAAGTCATCATATTCAGATCTCAGTTACCCAACTCTTCAACGTACTTTTAGACACAGAAGACTCTTTAAATTGAAGCACTCTAGGTTTAGAAATAAAGCTCTATGTAGTACCTTTAGTCCTTAGGCCAGCCTACCCTTAAAGAGGACTTTTATTGCATCTATAGGAACACTAATATCAAAACAGAACTTGCATAAAAAATAGCTATTGAGTATCTACTCTGTGTAAGATTTTATATTTTCATGTTACACTTATCCAGAATTTCGAAATAGTGATGGACACTGGACTAAATTGGACAGAGCTTAGGGTCCTTTCCCTCGTAAGCCATGCCACTGGACAATTCTCCAACTCAAAAGCTAGTATGTATATATGGGTGTAGAGCTATTGTAGGCACAGTTTTTTCTCTGTGGATGTCTAAATACAAAACTTCTTTTTGTCTCATTGACATAAATATATAGAGGAGCGATATATGTTTTACCTTTTAATTTTTGTTAAGCCAGTTCCTCACCACATTCCTATCTTTGACTAAAACATGCACTGATGTCCAAGTTAAACTCTTAAAATAACAATTTCTGTAGTAATGTTAAAGTGCTAAAATGCACACAAACAAAACCATGGCTTGTGGATCAAATAAAAGTTTGAATCAAGTCTACAAATACATCCCTTTCGGAACATTAAAATCTGAAATTTATCCTTTACTTATTGTATCATAATACCTACCTCAGGTGAACTCTGTCTAGTGCTTCCATCAGAAGGACTAGCTGGCTGATCTTGAATCTGGGGCATAGTAAAGGAAAGTTCCAGTGACTCTGGATTTGGTTCTAATTTTAATGCAACTTCCTGATTGAGTGCAGGGTCAGCACTACTTCGAAGTGGCTCTGGAGTTTCAGAGGCAGGTAATGGAGACATTGCCAAATTTATGTTCTGTAATTTTTCATTAGAGGAGGGGAGCATTACATCATTATACAATGGAACTTCCTCAAGTTGTTGTTCATCAGTTTCTGTGTCTGTAGGGAAACAAATTGGTCAATTTAAAGAATATCTAGATTTTAACACATACAGAAATATGCCCCCTTTTATCAAAGGTTTGTTGAGTTCACTAAAACAACAAAAATGTTACCAAACTTTCCTTAATCAGAAAGTTTACAGATACTATGGTATAACCGTAAGTCCAAGTTATCTTTCCAACCCACTACTGACAACTCCCTATAATCTATACAGCATGAAAAACCGAGCAATTCCACCCCTTTTCATTAAAATTTAACCTTGTATGAAATTATTCTCATTTTTAATGTTTAAAATTATGGTATGACTGCTTACTTTAATGTGACTGTACCTATTGCAATATAACTGTTAAATTGTGGAGGAAATATGACAGTAGGATACAGAAATAGCAGAGTAGCTGAGGAAACTGAAGTGGGAAAAAGAAATAACCTGAAGGACACTATGAAGCACAATTTCCAATGTGACAAAAGCAGGAATGCTAAGAAATTAGAGAGGCAAAATATTTAAGAAAATACTTTCAAGAAGACTATGAAAAACAAAACATGTAAGACCATTCTGGCCAAATGATTACGAACAAAAAATGTCAACATGAAGTTCAGTTAAAATGGGCTTGCATCAGCAGGCACAGTTTAGGCAATTAACAAAATAATCAAAGACCCACCATTGCTGCCAAAATCTAAAGATATGATTGTGTCTCCAGCAGCCGGGGCCAGCAAAGTTAAAGCATCAGGTTCCTTCTTAAGTTTATCAAAGAGGCTACTTGTATCTTCTGATTCAACTTTGGTGAATAGCTGAGTCATTTTCATATCTGAAGATTCAACTGGTTTGAGGACACATTCTGTTTGTTGAAGGGAGAAGATCAAGTCGTGTTGAATAATACCACTGTCAAAAAGAGAGACCAGTAATTTTTAAATGAGCACTGACACAATGGGAGTAGAGGGAAAGGGACTCTGAAAGGACCCTGTCTCCTGAAGAAATTCTACTTTATGAATAAGATCATTTTAAGATATACTGACCTAATCTCATGCCTACTAGGTCACATTAATTCAAGGTTTAAAATACCAATATGAAATAAAGACCTATTAAAACTCACAGTGTAAGATAAATATTTGACTAATTTCAATTAAGAAACTTCAGCTCTCCCTTTGGGAAGAGTGGTGGTGACAAAGAAATATAACAGTCAAGTATAAGGAAGACATAAATAGAACTTTCCAATTTTTGTGCTGACTCACATATAATGAAACTGGCACATAAGAACTCTGGCACTAAGGATGGTCCTAGTATATAAAGATATATAGATAAATGACCAAGATCTTTCTAAAAGAGGTAACATATTTTCTTTAGAGGTAGAAAAATGATAAGGTTATATCACCTATGGGAATAGAGTTAGAAAGGGTTGATCAACAGCTCCACATTCATTTGGCTTAAATATAAATTTTATTGCTCCTTTAATCAACAAATCTGAAGTGTCTACCTGGCCTGGAAACACTGAAAATGATAATTAGATAGAAATGTGAAAATAAAATTCAGTTAATGTTTATAATCTCCTCTTCCTATAAAAGAACAGAGTACCCAAAAGAGTTATTACTTGTTCCCCAAAATATTTATTTTCCAAGCTTACCTCACAACATAATTTACACATACAATGCATTGTGGTTGAGAGTTCTTAGTGTTATATATGACAGTTGCTTGAGTTTCAACCCAGACATATCCACCTCTTTTGGCAAGCATCCTGTACTGTCCTGTGGTGACTTGTCCTTTAGTAAACACTACGAGTAAAATGGAAGAAGTGTCATGCAGAGAAAATAACTGTCAATCAAATGAATGGATGCCAAATGTATATTGTTTTAGAAAAAGAAATATTTATTATTAATGTAATCAGTTGTAAGTGTTTAAATTGGAAGTGAGAGGAAAAGCGCCAGGATAGCTGAAAACATACCCAATTTCATTTTTCTAATCCCCCAAATAAACTGCTGCCCTGCCAATTTTCACTTTAAAAAAAGTGAAAGTCAGGAATGAGGGACAATGGTGACTACAAGTCCTCTAATGACTTGTATGTTGAATGCATCAGGGAGACTAGAGAATGAATAATCTGCACTCCACAAAGAACATTAAAAAAAGTGCTATCATTTCCATAAATTTCTGCTATAGTTTTCAGGTAACCAAAGATGCTTCAAAGATACTATACTAGTATATTTAAATCTCACTGATATCATGCCACTTTAGGCAATCTTGCTTACTGATTTGGGAGGAAGTACTAGATAAATAATAAAGATGATATTATCATGAGTATTGGGACCCATTATGTAGTTTAAGGATAAGCACACTAACTCAGTAATAGTCAAGCATTTCCAATCACTTTGGTAAGTCATGTTTAGGTACAGATTCAACAGGCAAGTGAGAAATTCCAAAGTTTTACTTACCATGGGATCTTCAAATAACATTCGAGTAAAATTGAGAAACAAATCTTACGTCAAGAGTACTTATAATCCCTAGGGCATGCTGTTGATCACTCTCACTTCATTGAACAATTATTTTCTGAGTGCCTTCTATGTACAAACCACTGTTATGAATACTTAAGTATGAATTTGCAAATAAGATGCTATAGTATCTTATGATGTATTTTTTGAGTCTTTGTATTTAAAACACCAGGGAAGTTTTAGATAACAAATAATTCTGCTTCAACTGGTATTCCTTTTAACAAATACAAAACAGATTAATTGGCCAAGATCCCTTAAGAAGAGTTTTGTTAAGATTATTTAGTTTAGAAAGACTGGTTAATATTAACCAAAAAGTTAGATGACTGACCGAAAACAAAAGAGACACTGACCGAAAAGTAAAGAGACAGCAAGAGTTAAATAAAACACCCATGAGCTCCTCCATTGTACTTACTATCATGATGAGTTTTGGTCAGGTGATCAGAGTCCAAAGCATGATAATATTCATAAATTGAGCGGCCCAAAAGTTCTTCTGGCTCATACCCCATCAATTCAGTAATTCTGTTAGGTAAAAAAAGTAAGAAGAAAAAAGAGAAACTAAATGAGAATGAAAAATTTTGCTTCTCTAGATTAACAAATATGCATTAGTCTTATAAACAGATAAATTTTCAATAAATAAATAAATAAATAAATGGGGGGGGGGCATTTGCCCTGGCTAGTGTGGCTCAGTTGGTCGAAGCATTGCCCAGTAACCAAAAGGTTGTGGGTTCAATGCCCACTTAGGGCACATGCCTAAGTTGTGGGTTTGATCCCTGGTCTGGGTGCACACGATCCCTGGTCCAGGAGTGTACAGGAGGTAACCAATAGATGTTTCTCACATCCATGTTTCTCTCTATCCCTTCCTCCCTCTAAAACAATAAAAGAAAAAAAAATTCCTTGGGTGAGGATAAAAATAAAGAGAATTTTTCTTTGCTGAAAATAAATTTATATCTCACCTTTAGTAAGTCTGTAGTTACTAAATATGGCACTATCCATTTAAGTCCTCTGCATTCATCCTGTTATTTGACCTTTTAATCCCTTTCACTCAAACTTGTTGCTTGTTTTTATCGCATTTTACTGTACATACTTTTGGTAACAAGACAGGGTATCAAGAAACAGATATGAAGTACTGCTAAATTAAATAATGTTATAAATGTAGTCACTGACATTTAATTTAAAATATAGATAGATTAAATCCTTAACACTGTCTTATCATAAAACTAGATGCTTTTGTGTGTGTATAAACCAGATTCTTTAAATGACAGGTCCCCTAGGCAAGACTTCAACTTTGTGGGATCAATGTCCACTACAAAATTTTAATATCATTAACCAAAGAGTATCTATACTAAATGGGAATAAAGGAAATCTATTATGTTGGTTTTGGAAGATGCTCTTGTACTTCATTCTTTAATACATAATATTATAGGAATTCATTTCAGATGAAGCAATGACATCAAACTGAAAGTAGACTAGAAAGTAATCCAGTTACCCCTTCTAATTCTCTGGCAGTTCCTTTAGGATAAAGACTAAATCTTATTATTCTCTATAACCACAGTCTGAAATGGAACGCTTTTCATGGGAAAGAGAAAGCTGTTTTGTAGCACTTCTCAGAAGACAAATGTTCTCTTCTTTTCTGGGAGCAAAACATGAGTTAAACTTTTGATTTCTCAGACTTTACATTTCAAAGAACTTCCTGAGGTGCAAGCAAAAGTTATGCAACATTTTGTCCCCTGCCTGCCTCCTCAAATCAAAACCCAATTAATTACAGAAAGCACACAGGGAAGATATCCTTCTGTTTAGAAATGTATAAAACTAATATAGTTGTGTCACACTTTAGAGCAAGATCTGCCACAGTTCATTCCAAAATAAATAAATAAACAGAAAAATGATTTATAAAAAACAAAACAAAAAAACACCAAGCCAAAATCCAGAATCTTTACAAAGGGATCTCCCTAAATACATCTACACTAGGTGGCAGTATTTCAAAGACAAGTAATATTTTTAAAAACCAGCTCTTACTTTAAATTATGCTTTAAAAGTAATTTTAGTTGGTCTTATGTAGGTTATATGTTTAAATAATATTACCATTAGTTTTTTCATTTAGAACTTTATATACCTATGTATGCCTGGCACTATTCTAGGTGTGAAATAGAAAGAAAACTCAACATGTGGCTAATTTTCAGTACACTTACCATACTATTTATGAAATAATGTGTAAGTACAGTGATAAGAACCTGCTGCAGGATTCAGAAACACCACCCCTACCCATAAGAAGAAATGCTCGTGAAGGGGGGTGTTAGAGGGTAGAGGGATTGAGCAAAAAGGGAAAAGGACTCATGGACATGGACAACAGTGTGGTGATGGCTGAGGGGAGGGAGATATGAGGAGACTAAAAGGTAATGTAAAAATATAAAGATCAAAATTGGTTCAAACAAAAAAAAAGAAAAAAGTCTATCTGTCTGATACAGTTAAAAAAAAGAAACAAAGGAATGTTGGGATAAAGAACAGTTCCTATAGAGATTTATGAGCTGAACAAAGAAGAAAGGCAAAGAGAGCAAAACTGTATCAGAAGAAGGTACACCATAAGCAAAGACAGAGATAAGAGAATGCTTGACATTGTAAAGGCAACAAAAACTTTGATGTGGTCAGTGGGGGGCAGGCAAAAAGAGATGAGGCTGGAAAAGTAGGCAGGAGGATCATATTAATGAGGGCCTTGTATATGATATTAAGAAGCTGTGATTTAATCAGTTGTCAATCAGTACTTCTCAATCTGAGTTATGTCTACCACTAAGGGATGCAAGATGTGAAAGTATAAACAGCACATATTTTCCTAAAAAGTCACTTTTATTCATATTGGAAGAAGTAAGGTAAAAAGTTAATTTAACTTTAAAGAATTCATACCTTATATTCCATACCAAAAGGAAAGGAGTGATCCAGAAAATTTGATCAAAAAGCATGTTTAATAAAAGGAAACCTGTAATCTAAAGCAACTATGCAGATTTCTGGTCAAGACGACCATGTAGGCTTCTTTGCACAACCACATCCATTTTACAAATAAAATATAGAACCACCACCACTCAGAATGGTCAGAAATCAAGTTCAATGGTCAGAAATCGAATTCAATGGAAGTGTGACAACTACGGAATTAAAGAAACCACGCCCATCCAGACTGGTAGGAGGGGCGCAGACTTGGAACAGGCTCGTCCCACACCCACGAGTGGTGGATAAAAATTCGGGAGGGAAATCTCGGGAGCAAGGTGTCCCAGTCCCAGTCCCACACCAGGGTTCCAGTGCCAGGGAAATAAGTTCTCACAACCTCTGGCTGCAAACACCAGCAGGGATTGAGTCAATGGAAGAAAATTCTGGAGGCCCAAGCAATTCCTCTTAAAGAACTTACTCACCCACAGACTCACCTGAGCTCCAGAACTGAGGTAGCAGCTTCAAAGGCACCAGAGGTATGTAAGGAGAAACTGAAGTGTCTGGCATCCAGGTAAGGGGAAGTCATTGTCCCTTTTCTAAAACCTCCCCCAACAAAGCCAGCAAGCTGGTGCCCTATCTGAGACTCCAACTTGGCTAACACTGTTTGACCTGCCTTGGAGATCCCCAGACACTGTGTCCCACCCAAAGTACAGGCCCACTGAAGCTACTTTTCCATGAATAGCTGGTCTTAGCTCATACTGCACAACTTACTAAATCCTCTCAAACAGCAAGAGTTGGCCTCAGTAAGCCCCAGGCCCAGCACTAGCAGCAGCCAGCCTACATTCACAGCTCAGCTTCACCTGGGATTCTCCAATCCTAGCACAAGTAGCAGCCATCTCAGATTGCTCTATAGTTCATGAAGGGTGGCCCCAGGCAAAACACAGGTGGGGGCTGACCTTGGCCTGCACCACCCAGGAAACCCCAGGGCCAACACATCCAGTGGACAGCTATGGACCACGATGGAGCACCACCACCCTCCCGCGGCACAGCTGATCCTCCCTGGAGGGCGGAGGTTGATGGTCAGTGATCACAGCCATTCCTTGCAGCTGAATGGTCTGGGTAAATCCCTCCCATTGATCTGCCAACAGCAACCCAGGTGCATCTACAAAAGGAAATGTACTCAGCCCACATGAAGGGCACACTGTGAATACCCAGCTTGGGTGATAGGGGAGGCTGTGCCACTGGACCCTACAGGACACCTACTACATTAGCCCACACTACCAACACATGGAGTCAAAGCAGCTCTACCTAATACAAGAAAAAATATATATGGAGGGTGCCAAAACAAGGAGACAAAGAAACAAGGCCCAAATGAAAGAACAGATCAAAACTCCAGTAAAAGAACTAAATGGAGATAAGCAGTCTATTAGATGCAGAGTTCGAAACACTAGTTATTAGGATGCTCAAGAACTCAGCGAGGACCTCAGCAGCATAAAAGAGACCCAGTCAGAAATGAAGGAAACACTAATTGAAATAAAGAACCATTCACAGGGAAACAACAGTAGAGTGGATGAAGCCAAGAATCAAATCAAAGATATGGAACATAAGGAAGCAAAAAAACAACCAATTAGACAATAAGAAGAAAAAAAAGAATCCAAAAACAATGAGGACAGTGTAAGCAGCCTGAGACAACTACAAGAGGTCCAACATTCGCATCATAGGGGTGTCAGAAGAAGAGAAAGAGCAAGAAATGGGAAATCTATTTGAAAAAACAATGAAAGAAAACTTCTCTAATTTGGCAAAGGAAATAGACATGAAAGTCCAGGAAGCACAGAGTCCCAAACAAGATGGAGGCAAAGAGGCCCACTCCAAGACACATCATAATTACAATGTCAAAGGTTAAAGGAAAGAGAGAATCTTAAAAGCAGCAAGAGAAAAGAAGTTGGTTACCTACATGGGAGATCCCATAAGACTGTCTCAAAAGAACTTGCAGGCTACAAGGAATTTGACAAGAAATATTCAAAGTCATAAAAAGCAGGGACCAACAGCCAAGATTGCCCTACCCAGCAAAGCTATCATTTAGAATCTAAGGGCGGATAAAGAGCTTCCCAGACAAGAAAAAACTAAAGGAGTTCATCATCACCAAACCATTATTGTATGAAATGTTAAGCCTTATTTAAGAAAAAGAAAATCAAAACTATGAACAGTAAAATGGCAATAAATACATATCTATCAACAACTGAATCTAAAAAACAAACTAAGCAAACAAGAACAGACAGATTCATGGATACAGAGAGCGTTTTGATGGTTGCCAGGTGGGATTGGGGTGTGTGGGAATGGGTGAAGAGGTGCAGGGAACAAGAAGTACAAATACGTTGTTACAGAATAGCTGTGGGGATATAGAGTACAGGATAGCAAATGGAGTAGCCAAAGAACTTATCTGCATGACCCAAGGACATGAACAATGGTGGGGGGATTGCCTGAGGGGCTGAAAGATGCTGGGTGGAGGAGGACAAAGAGAGAAAAATATAATTTAAAAAATAAAAAAATTAACAAAAAGAATAATAAAGCAACTATGCAGTGTACCATTCATTTATTTTAAGTGTGCTGAGGGCAGGAAACTGTTAATCTTCATTTCTACTTTAGCATCTATTTTTGTGCCACTCAGTAGATGTGTTGAATGACTGTAAGTCCTAGAAAGAGCTCTAACCAGATAGCTGGTCAAACTCAAAACCTTACTTTGCTGATCTCTAAGCTGGTTGTCTTTACTCCTTTGTCATGATCATTCTGCCAATTTCCTGTCTCTCTCTAGCTCCATCACTTTCCTTTTTCCCCATAGTACTCCCATACTTGGTTACTAAGTTCTAAAAATAAAAAATTTTTCCTCAAAAAAGGATGGGCATTTCTGTTATATCATACATTTACATGAATAGGGCAGTAAATGCTATGACATACTTCTTAGCTTTTCTATTTTCATTTTTCTTAAAATTGACAACAGAGGTGAAGCATTCACTATGCGTACCAGGCACTCAACAACCTCTTTTAATCCTTGCAAGCAAGATTTTGACATAGGACCCTTATTTTAGCTAAGAAATATGAGATTTAGAAAGTTAAATTCTATGACCAAGGCCACATTGTAAATACCGTAGCTGCAAGCCAGGGCTGAATCCAAGATTATGTGATTTCAAAGCCAATGCTCTGTAACATTTCCTTGTCTAATGGGGTGGGACATTCTTATCTATATTATCCTGCTTAAAATTGGTTTTCTCATAAAATCTTCAAGATGACCCCCCAAAAAGTAGGTGTTACTAAATATGAAAAAACTGATATTCAAAGAGAAGAACTAATGAGTCCAAGATGATTTCAAAATAAGGCAGCAAAGTCAGGATTTAGTAGTCTGGCCACAGAATTTATGTCTTTAGAAACTATGTTATATAGCCTCACAGTAAAAAAAAAAAGGGACAAGCAAGCAAATAATTTCAACAGTTGAATAAATGCTACGACCGAAGTATAGTTTAATTTTAGAGAACCCCGAAAACTCCACAAAGGACAAATGCAGTAGGTGGCCCTTGGAAGGTAAATGTGAGTTAGGAGTTGAAGAAAACGTCACTAAGGAGTGGGAAAGTAAGTGCAAAGTACTAAGATAACAAAACAGAGAGCATGTGGAGCTCTCTGGCTGTGGGGTGTTAGGAGACACATCAGAAGGAGTCCTCCTTCTACTGATTAATCTGGAGAAGTAGGCAAGGGCTATAAATAACCTTGTTTGCCATGCTAAGAAGTTTATAGTCTATTTTTCTTTTGGCTTTTAAAAATGCATGTCTTCTTTTGATAAATAAAACTCTCCTGCCCTCCTCTAAAAATTTTTTAAAGATTTTATTTTATTATTTATTTATTTTTAGAGAGACGGGAAGGGAAGAAGAAAGAGCAGGAGAGAAACATCAATGTGTGAGAGAAACATTGATGGCTTGCTTCTCACATGCCCTCAAATGGGGGCCTGGCCCTCAACCTGTGCGTGTGTACTGATGGGGAATCAAACTGGTGACCTCTTGGTTCGCAGGCCAGTACTCAATCCACTGAGCCACTCCAGCCAGGGCTAAAATTTTTATAAACATAAGTTTCTGTGTGTGAAGATGAAAAAAAACATTTGAGGCATTTTCAAAAGGAGAATGACATGATCTGATTTTCACATCAGGAAGTCCACCTTTTAGAAACCTGGTTGAGAGAGTAAAAAGGCACAAGTCTGTCAGTAGAGAGACAGTTTAAGAGATTATGTCAACAGTTCAGGACAAAGGTAATGAGATGAAAAATTCAATGGCAGAACAACAAAGGTGAAAAGGAGGGAATGGATCAACATATATAAGTAGATAATAAATTTATAAAATTTAGAGACCAATTAAGTGTACATAATGAAGGTAAAGAAAAAGTTACAGATGACTTCCAAATTTTTGCTGGAGTCACCTGTCTGCAATGGTACGTTTAACCATGATAGACATTATAAGAGGAAAATCAGTTTTTGAAGTTTTTGTTCGAGGCAGTACAGGTGCAGTTCAGTTACAGAAATATTTAGTTTACAATACACATGAGTATCCAGAAAAAAACAATCAAATTGGCAATTAAACAGAAATAGTTAGGAATATAACAAGCAAAATATAACCAGCAACATTGAAATAAAAAACGACAATAACCAGAGGAGAAGATGAAATGGGGTAACAGGGAAAAAGAAGGGGAAGAGTCAAGGCCAAGGAACATGTATAAAGGACCTATAGACAACACCAAAGTGGGGAAGGACCGAGGGTGGGTGAGGTGGGGGAAAGTGGTGGCAAGAAAATGGAGCCAACTGTATTTGAACAAGAATAAAAAAATAAATTAAAAAAATAGGAATATAAACTTGGAAATGGCAACAGAAACCAATAGATAAAGCTGCTCAGGGAAAATACACAGGTGAGGAGATGACCAAGGACTTCTGTTTTTGGTTCATAACCAAATTATTTATGGTGTCTTTGAAATATATTTGTTTTCTGTTCAAATTAGAGTCCCTAAAGGAAAAAGACCTCACCTTAATAATTTCTGAAAAGCACCTGGTGGAGCAAGAATTCATAGTACATTGTAAATGTTCAATATGGCTGAACTAATCATCAAAGTTCATGATATTACAGAGTTCCAGGATGTATCATGGTATACAGTTTAGGAGAAGGAGTCTTTATATATAGTAAATAGTTTTTAAAAAGTGGATTAATTAAAATTTTCAAGTTATATTTTATCTCATTTACCTTTCATCACAATAAGAAAATTTCATATCCAGACTGTGACGACTGAGGAAAGTCTTGCTATCTAATGGAATTTCAATATTTGATGGATGAGGAATGGGTTCACAAATGAGCACCAAGCATGTCATAGGTGGTTTCTTATACCCACACTGAGACTGGTTACCATTGGTATCATACACATGAATATGTCCTGTGCAGTGAAGCACCTGTGTATAAAGAAAAGCAGTTTTTAAATATGTATATATACAATGCTAGAAAAAAATGCAGAGATAAGTAGTTAAGTGTGATATTGAAAGTAAGCTTTGATAAAATATACTGCCATTAGTAGATTAACTGTATTTCTGGAAATCATTAAATATTTTCCCTACAACACCACCCATGCCCTACCCCGCAGGTACCACAAATTATTGTTTAAAAAAAAAAAAAAAAAGAAAGAAAGAAATTTTACCCTTTGCAACAGCATGAATGGACATGGAGTGTGCTATGCTAAGTGAAATTAAGCCAGCCAGAGAAAGACAAGGACCATACAATTCATTTCCCTCCTATGTGGAATCTAATGAACAAAATAAACTAACATAAAATAGAAGCAGACTCATAGATAGACAATAGACTGGCAGCTGTCAGAGAGGAGAGGGATTTGCAGGGCTGGGTGAAAAAGGTAAAGGGATTAAGCAAAAAAGAAAGAAAGATAAGAAAACCACCCTCAGACAGAGACAATAGTATGGTGGCCATGGGAAGGTAGAAGAGGGCATAAGGGGAATAATAAATGGTGGTGGAAGGAAACTTGACTTGGGTTGGTGAACACACAGAACAATATACAGGTGATGCATTATAGAAACCTACACCTGAAACCTATATAATTTTATTAACCAATGTCACCTGAATAAATTCGGTAAGAAAGGAAAAAATATTAAAAACCTCCTTCATACAAATCTGGGCTGATTTTTCATTCATTTGGTTATTGTAGCTGTTTGATGGTTATTTCTTCCTGTGACAAGTGTTTCAACACTGAGCAAAAAAAAAACCAAAAACCAAAAAACAAACAAACAAACAAACAAACAAAAAAAAACCAAAAAAAACCCCCAAAACCCAAAAAAAGAAAATTAAGCTCTATCAAGATTCAAACACTGGATGGTTGGCAAAGCTAACTGACTGTTAGCTCAGTAAACCAGTGTCACAATTCACATAATTTAAGTTCATGTCTCAAACTGGCAAATTTCTATCCTGTTTGGATGTTAAATCTGCAAATACCAAGGGACAACTCTAAGTTTTCTTTCACAGTTCTAAAGCTACCTTAAAACTAGCAATGACAAGATGCATGAAATTATCTATAAATCAAGTGCATCACTACTCACAAATCATTTTTACTTACCTTCCACGTTGCAGACTTTATGTTCATAGTTCTCCCCCGGCTAGTTAGGGTACACTTCATTCTGAGGAAAAAGCTTCGCTGTGTATTTTGCTCTTTACCCTTTTTTACAAGGCCTAAGAAAAGCATGAAATAAAGTTTAAAAACAAAGTTAAATATGCAAATGTGTTATAGCAAGAGTAGCACAGTACCCAGCAACTGGGAGCCGTTCAATTAAACATCCCAGCATGAACAAAGAGAAACACACTTGCTTTGCCCACTCCAACACATCCAGCAACCTAACCCTCAAGTCAGTAACGAGTTCTTGACAGCAGTGATTCTGAGTTGGTAGGAGGAGAATCCATAGTTGGGTAACAGTTATTTCACATTCAAGCCAGTAAAGAGGGTCAAATTATAAAGAAATATAAATATGGCATGAATTTGTCCTACAAATGTGCTATCAGTAGTATATAAACATACCCAAAAACAAGGAACTGCAGCAAACTCTTCCAAACCTTTACTACATACGTTAGTTCAGTTTATAATAAGCACTCCAAAATTTATTTGTAATAGTAAATAAGCAATTTTTTATATTTGATTTTTTCTTACATCTTCCTATATAACAGGAAATTATTTCTATTTTGTTATTAGGAGAAAAAAAAGTAAATGACTTTTCAAAGCAAAGTTATAATTAAACCAATTCAGGTTTATTTATTCATATTCCAAACCTAATATAACTGAAAAAAGAGATTACAACACTCAGATGACTAAGCAAAGCAACTTGCTTTCCTATCTTCATTGATCAGTCTGGTTCAGTATTCATTATTCAGGAACTAGGCTAGGTATTGCAGGAAACACAAAGATGAATAAGACACACTGCCTGTCCTGAAGAAGTTAAACATTTAGCAGATGTAGGGAAGCTAATCACAATACAGCACAGACAGAGTAGTGCCCGAGACTTACAAGAATGCTTTAAACAAGTACAGAGACAGCTTAGAAAATAGTTTCTAGTTATGGGGAAATCAGGAAGTTCTTCTTAGAGAAAGAGACATTAGAATTTCAAGAAGTAGAGATGAGTTAGAAGGGTACACCAGGCAGAAGAGAACGAAAAGCACATAGGTGGGAATCATAGCACATTTGGGGAACAGTAGTAGGTAGTTCAGTTTGGCCACAATAGTAAAGTATATACAGAAGAGTAATGAGATGAAGTTAGAAGAGAAGGTTAGAGCCATAACTGTGGAGGGATATAATGAGGAGTTCAGCCTTAAATATACAACATGGAGCTTCTAAAAAATTCTGAAGTTGGAAGCATGATTAGGAACTTACAGAGAATCTATCTAGCAGCAACACATAGGATATGTAAGAATTAGAATACATCATGGTAATGAGGGTCTCACCATTACCATGGTGAATTCATTCTTCAGTAGCAGAAGTAAAAGGGATGACAAAAGGTAAATGAAAAGGCAAAACCTATAAAAACTTGAAAATTGATGACAATAAGACAGCAGAGAAATCTTAAGATTTGTAGATTTTTAAGGTCAGTATACTGGAAGAAATGTGTCAAGTAAAAAAATAAACAAATTAAATTTAAATGTAGGTCTAGTTAGCTGGACATGCTGGACTCAAGGAAGGAGAAATAATAGTTCAAACTTTTAATAACAGAACTAGCAAGTTAGGGCAGTCTTGGTGCTGATATAAGTTATCTGGGTTTACTTAAACAAGGACTGAATTTGCCCTCCTTAGAAATGTCTGAGAGTGGATTTTAAAAAGATGCAACAGGATCATACTGGTCTTGGTGATAGTGTAAGGGTGTGTGTTTGGGGAATGGGAAGTAGTACTGGTGCTGGTGGTGGCAGCAGTGATCCATCCCACATGTAAACTTTAGGGTATTTTCAGTCCTCCATAATCTAAGATTGAATTGGACTGACCTTTGAAAATACAAAGCTCTTGAATTGGGACATGAAGAAAAATTTTAATACCAAGGTAGTGGAAAAGTACTAGTATTCTCCTAATGGGAAAAACATTTTGAAGAAATAAATTTCCAGCCTTCAAAAAATAAATATTTTATAGTAACTTATGAAATTTAAATAATCTTTTTAACATTAATTAAAAAATAATAGGTCTATGTTGTGTAAATACACCAATGGCTCTTAGTGTATCATTAAAATGTAATGCACTGTAGCAGCCTTTCTAAGTGAAAATCTGCATTTGAAATGATTTCCAAAAAATGTTCATGTGCTTAAAAATTTGGTTAAAAACATACATTTAAATTATATTAAGCAGACTATATCTGATTTAGAATTAACATGATTACCAAATCAAAACAAGACTTCCTAATATCTATCCACTTAAGAGTCTAGCCCATCAGAAGGACTGAGCAGCCAATACAAACCCTCAAGTCTAACCACTTGACCTCGTATGTTAAACCCATTGAAAACCTACTTAGGTCCTTGCTCAGAATTTATTCTTCCTTTATACAGTACGTATTTGCTTTCCAAGTTCACAGTAAACACACAGTATGAAATTTAAAAAGAGGAGAGAGCTTCTGCTGACAAGGTGAAAAATGGCAGTAGAATGTAATGAGAGTTGGTGAACATGAAAAGAACTCTGAAAGTGCTAAGAAGTGTGGACTCTGGAGCCATTCCACCTAAGATTAACCCATGCTCGGCCACTTACTAACCCAGTTATCTTCGGCAAGCTATTCAATAACTCTGTGCTTCAGTTTCCTCAACAAAACATAAATAACAACAGTAACTTCACAGGATTGTTGTGAGGAATAAAAGAGTTAAGCACATAAATGCAGAAAACAGTGCCCTAGCACAGTGTAACTTCTCAATAGAGATTAACTATTATTATAAATGAGACAAGATGAAAAAGAAACCATAAAAAAACTATGCAAAAGTACTATAAATTTGAGGTTGTGTAATAGAGAAGTAAACAAACATACACTCAGAGAACTGCAAAGAGCAACTACAGGGCATAATGACAAATTTTCATTTTAACTTGTCATGAATGATACAATGAAAATTTACAAATTACGATCAGGACACTCTGTTTAAGAGGGCACAGGTTTGAAAAGATTTTCTTTACTTGTTAAGTTTTTAAGTGAGGATTCCCAGTATGCTGTAGGGCAGTAACTGCCAGTAGTAGGGCAGTAACAGAGGGTGCCCTGGGAGTACAGTAAGTACCCCTCCTTATCCGAGGTTTTGCTTTCCGCAGTTTCAGTTACATGGTCAACCTCAGGTTCAAAAATAAAAACTGGAAAATTCCAGAAATAAACGATTCACCTTTTAAATTGTGGGAAAAAGAAGAGACACTTTCCCAAAATCTTGGAACATTTGATTGTTAACAATTCATTCATAAGAGTTAGAGGTCTTTTTGTGTTGTTGCTGCTAATGTGGGGGCATCCATAATGTAATATTTTATAATCTAACTGCATACCTTCAAGTTATTGTAAACATCATATGAGGTCAAATACGCAATTATTATGTTCTTTAAAATCTGATGAAACTTCTCTCTTTTTTCCCCCCTTGGGCCTTTAGAAAGCTTGAATCCAAGCATGCACCTCAATTTCAGTTACAGTCTAAAATCCTATTGTCTGTCATTTATATTATGACTTCTCGTCTTAAAATTGTATTTGAACTTATAACTTCCTTGACCCTTGTTTTTATTTTTTCATTTTATCTATTCATATGTGTGTGTGCATATGGCACACAATATGTGGGCTTTAAGACTTTTTTTACATATTTTAATGAAATTCGTAAAAAAATAGAATGGATTTAAAAAAGAATAGAGTAGCATTTTATTAAACATGAAATGATGTTTTGCCTTAAATTTCTACAATAACAAAATTTAAAAATTAGTAACAGAATCTGATCAGGTAAAACCACCTGTCACATTAAATCAAACAATAGACTTTTCTTCTCACCATTTCTGTGTGTAAGCATTTCTCTCATTTCCTCATGGTCACACGGATGAGTAAAATCAAACACACTGTGTCCAGTTAGTTCAAACTGTAAACACATTTTCAAAAATTAGATCTATATCATAAAATCATAAAAATATAAATAAGGACTCTTAATATACAGGTATTTTACCTGAGTTAATCCCATGTATTTGTTCACATTATCTGAAATGTAAATCATATCACCATCATCTGTGAGAACCATAACAAAACCATCCAGGGCTTTCAAATAAAAGCAATTCATTTGTGCCTTCATTTCATCTTCAATATCCAAATCACCTAGAAAGAGCACAAAAAAAGGAAAAAAATTGTTTATAAGTTATATTTAAATAATATTTAGATGTTTAATAAAGTTTGACACATACTTTAATATACACAACCTATATTTTTTTCTGCATATTATTTTTCCCCCAGCACCCCTTCCTTTTAACACAGCACAGTGAGGGCCAGAGAACAGGAAGACTAAAATTAGATTTGCCAGCTGTTTTTAATGATTATTTAAAGTAATTTATAAAGGCAAACAATTGAAAAGTGAAAGAAGGGTCATGTTATTAAAAGACAGGTAGATAGGTAGGTGGTGGGGCAGGAAATAAAGAGGGGCAAAAGGCCAGACACTTTAAAAGCAGGTAATAAAAAGGCTGTTATATTAAGGAAGAATTGACCATCCTCTATATATAATTGAAATTTCTTTTAATTTCTAACTTTTAGGCCTATTATGCCCTTGTAAAACAACTCACCAGCATCGAGAAGTTTCCTCACACGCAAATAGCTGATGGTAAGCCTCATAACAGAAGCCTTATCAAGATGCGAACTCACGTTATGGGGAAGTGGCAACTGATGCGCAAGCTCATAAAAAACTTCAGACTCTTTACTTCGCCGAGATCTGGCTGCATCTCTAGACTTTTCTTTTCGACGTTCAGAACTTATCCTATTTAACAAAAAAGAAGGGGGTGAGGAAAAGAGAGAGAATTTATATTAGTTTGCCTTTGCTTGAATAAAACTAATTTTACATTCTGCTTACCACAGAATGATTAGAAGATACTATGTAATTAAATGATACAGAGATTTGTCTGCTACATGAAAGTATTTTTAATGGAGAGTGATACAAATTTTTGGATTACTGAGACATAAGGAAGCTTCATAAGAAGTCCAAGATGAAGCTTTAAACCTGTCTGAAGGAGGTGTTTTCCCCCTGGCATGTCAAATTAAAGGAGATGTTCTTGTTTAGCCCACATCTGAAACACTGCCTGTATATGAAGACTGCACCTTCACTGCCATTCAAAAAGTTTCAACATAGAGCTCTGGCTGGTATGGCTCAGGGGACTGAGTGTTGGCCTGCGAACAAAGAGTCGCTGGTTTGATTCCCAGTCAGGGCACATGTCTGGGTTGTGGGCCAGGTCCCCAGTAGGGGGGATGTGAGAGACAACCACATATTGATGTTTCTTTCCTTCTTTCCTTCCCTTCCCCTCTCTAAAAATAAATAAAATCTTTTTTTTAAAAAGTCTGTTTTAAAAATATATTTTTTAAAAAGTCTCAACATAGAGAAGTCATGACTAAGTCTAGAGAAACGTAAGTTGTGCATAATAACTTAAAAATGGGTGTTTTTAAAAAAATTGACACTATTACATATATCCCCACCCCCGCCCTTTGCCCACTTCTACCCGACCCTCACTCTCCTTCCCTCAGGCTATAACCAGTGTTGTCTGTGTGTATGGGTTATGCATATATGTTCTTTGGCCAAATATTAAGCTGGTAGAACAGCAATAGCTACAAAGTGACTTTTGACTCGTTTCTTTTGACTCCAAATACTCTCCTGCCTTCCTCTATTACCTAATCAATCTAGACATAAGCAATTAAGAGACCTGTAATAAAAATTTAATGAAGATACTGATCTGATTGATGTTCTTCACATGTGACTACAGGAGCTCTTAAGCCATTTCTAAGCTTAAAGATTCCCAAGTTCTTAGGAGTTTCTGCATCTGTGCTGTTCAGCTTTTACTCACAGGAAGACTCTATTTATCAAGTGATACGCCACAGAATTAGTGTTGACCAAGAATTATTTGTTAGACCACATGATGGAGAAATGAATCCTGGACTGTTTGTTTACTTACTATTTATATTACACAATAAAATGTTTGTAGACTGGCAGACATTTGGCATGGAAATATGCTCACTGTATTACTCAAAATTATCAATTATCTATGTTTTTATTTTATTGAGTATAGATCAAGTAAGTCTCTGCTACTTCCATATCTGTATAAGATGCTATTTCTCAGACTGCTAGTCATACTGGAAATCGATTAAGAGCACGGTAAAAACTCTGCTTTTTGAATAGTTTGCTTACCCAATTCCATGACTGTCCTAGAATAAATGCTTGAGTAAACTAGCAAAATAGTTTAATCTTAAGCTTCGTGGTACTATTCATATACTTTTCATGCTTACTCAAGTATACTTCATACAAGTATACTTTTCATACACTTAAAATTTTATTATTATTTAACATACACTACTGGACAAGAAACTAACAATTTTACCCTGAAATTATTTTGTATAAGAAATATATTTAAGAAGATAATTTAGGGCCACTATCTTATTAAGCTTCTTGTTTAGAGTTCATGAATATGCAATAGCCATTTGACAAAGAATGTCTATTATCCTTTAGAATACAAAATAACCATACATATTTTAAGGCATCTGTGGTGCCTACTGATTGTATAAGAAAAACATGTTAGTGTTCCTAATTGTAAATACATGACTTTAAGAACTGAAGTTAGATAATAATCATTCAAGATGTTAGGATGATCAGTTATTTCTAATAAAAATATGTGAAATTTTAAAACTCCCAACTCTCTTACTTGGTGAGTTTAAAACTCTTTCTGGGCCATAAAGATATACGTTACTGCTTTGCACTTCTTGAATTAGCATTTCTATAGGATAGACATTGTGAAATGAAATTCCTTGATCTAAAGGATACAGCATTCTGCCCTCTCTGGTGTGGCTCAATGGATTGGGCACAGGCCTGTGAAGCGAGAGGTCACCAGTTCGATTCCCAGGCAGGGCACATGCCTTGATTGTGAGCCACATCCCTGGTTTGTGGTATATGATAGGCAACTGGCTGATGTTCCTCTTGCACATCAATGTTTCTCTCCCTCTCCTCCTCCCTCCCTTCCCCTCTCTCTAAAAAAATTAAATCTTAAAAAAATAAAATAAAATAAACGATGTGGCATTTAGATATTTCTTTCCAAAAAGGTCTATACCCATTTTTGTCTCTGCCAATTCATGAATATGTGTACACATTTCCTCACACACTCTGTAGTAATATAAATTATGGGTCCTTTATATCTCTTTAATTTTTGCCAAGCTGATAAGTGAAAATTGTACCTCATTACTTTAACTTCCCTGCACTTTTAATGTCTTAGGCCAAAGGAATTCAATTCCAAGGAAATGTTCATGTTCTTTAGTTGGCATTTTGGCCTGCAGCTTTAAATTCAAACATTTATACATTTATACATGGTGCATAGTATGTACATAGTGGTATTCTAAACATTTTTTATCAATTAATTTATTTAATCTTTATTATCATAATGTTACAGATAAGGAACCTGGTTAAATAGCTTACCCATGATTAAGAGTTAATAAATGGTAGAGCCCATATTCAAATGCAAGCAGTCTGGCTCTAAAAGCCATGCTATTAACAATAGTCTATGCTGCTTCTCCGAAACTCATTCTAATTACCAAGTATTCATAAGTCATCACTGTGAAGTTGAAAATGTTTTCTTCACATCTCCAAAGGCCAAAAAAAAAGGCGGGTGGGGGGTGGTGGTGTAGGGGTTGCCTTTAAATTTAGGGTTTGACCCTAACTTATTTGGAGGGATTCATGGTCAGGCCCTCTCCTGGAGCCTGTTAGTAATCCAAAATCCCAACTGAAAGACATCTACAATGCCAATGCTCTCTGCTTCACTGTCCACTTCAAAACAAGGCACTCTTTAATGGGTACTGCCAACCAGAAAGGGGAAAGAATTAAGAGGACAGTCTACCTCACATACTCCCACTAAATTTTTATTTTGCACCAAGAAACTATTTGAATATCTTAGCTCACTACTGTTAGTGTTCTATTTGCTGAATATCTGGATTCCCAAAATAAAAGCCATTTTGCACACTCACTTCAAGAGATCTGGCTAGGCATAAGACAATTAAGATACCTAATCATACAAAGCACCATGAAAGAAAAGATGAAGAGAATTTTCTCCTTCTAACATTTATCGAGCACTTACTATGCACCAGGCACTGTGTTGAATGTTTTCATGTATTAGCTCATTTAAGAGTACCAAAACAAAAGATGAGAATTGGCTTTCCTGAACCTTAGAATAACTTCCTCCATTCAAGAAATACTCACTTGGTGAATATTTACTGAGCAGCTATCAAGTACCATGAACTGAGCTAGGTACTAGGAATATACTGATAAGCAGAACAGCCCTGACGACATTTAAGACAGCCTCCCACTTAGTCTACTCATAGCTATATCCCCAAATGCAGGTCTACTTGCATCATAATCACTTAGAGACATTGGTCAATGTTTCAAACTCCTAGGCTCCAATTTTTTAAATTGATCAAGGTCCCAAAATCCGAGTTTTTAAAAACTCCAAAGGGGCATGTGATACACCATGAGATTTAGAAACCATTCACTGAACTCATCCTTCCCTTACTTCACTTTAATTTCTCCCTCAAATTACTACCACAATAATCCTTCCAAAATAAGAAATTTGATATTATGTCCTGCTTACCATCCGATCAAATGTACACAAGACAAAGTATAATTCTTTTCAATGAAACCCAACCTTACCTAGTTCCTTGCCCATCTCTTCATCCTCATCATTTCCCAGATTCTTTAATATATATTGATTATGCTATTACAGTTGTCGCATTTTTCCTCCCCTTTATTCCCCTCCACCCTGCACTGCCCCACTCCCCCCAGCATTCCTCCCCCTTTAGTTCATGTCCATGGGTCGTACATTAAAGTTCTTTGGCTTCTCCATTTCCTATACTATTCTTAACCTCCTCCTGCCTATTTTGTACCTATTATTTATGCTGCTTATTCCCTGTACCTTTTCCCCCATTCTTCGCCCCTACCATCTCCATTTCTATGATTCTGTTCCTGTTCTAGCTGTTTGCTTAGTAATTTTTGTTTTAGGCTCAGATGTTGATAGTTGTGAGTTCGTTGTCATTTTACTGTTCAGTTTTTGATCATCTTCTTTTTCTTAGAAAAGTCCCTTTAACATAAGGGCTAGGTGATGACGAACTCCTTTAACTTCATCTTACCTGAGAAGCACTTTATCTGCCCTTCCATTTTAAATGATAGCTTTCCTGGATAAAGTAATCTTGGATGTAGGTTCTTGCCTTTCATGATTTCTTTCCAGCCCCTTCCTGCCTGTAAGATTACTTTTGAGAAATCAGCTGATAGTCTTATGGGAACTCTTTGTAGTTAACTGTCTCCTTTCTCTTGCTGCTTTTAAGATTCCCTCCTTATCTTTAATCTTGGGTAACTTAATTATTATGTGCCTTGGTGTGTGCTTCCTGGGATCCAACTTCTTTGGGACTCTCTGACCTTCCTAGATCTCCTGGAAATCTATTTCTTTGGCCAGATAGGGGAAGTTCTCCTTCATTATTTTTTCTATTTTTTCAAGTAAGTTTTCAATTTCTTGCTCTTCCTCTTCTCCTTCTGGCACCCCAATGATTTGGATGTTGGAGTACTTAAGGTTGTTCCAGAGGTTCCTAAGCCTCTCCTCATGTTTTTGAATTCTTGTTTCTTCATTCTGTTCTGGGAATGTTTATCTCTTCCTTCTGCTCCCAATCGTTGATTTGAGACCTGGTTTCCTTCCCTTTACTGTTGGTTCCCTGTATATTTTTCTTTATTTCACTTTGCATAGC